AACCTCTCCTGTAGTGGCAATCTGCCACCGCTGTGGAAAGGAAGGCATGCTGCTTTGTATACCTTTTGAAATACAGACATGACTGTCTGCTTATGCTCAGGAGTTCTGCATTTGCTTGGAGAGTGCTGTGAACAGCCTGTGGTTTCTAATGACCAGCGTGGGAAAAGAGACTTTTTCTGGAAGTCAATTTTTTTTTTTTTTTTTTTTTTTTAATTCAAGCTTAATAAATTCTAGATTATTCTGAACCCATGTCAACTGGGAAGACTGCTCTTTTTGAAAACAAATTCCATTTTCTATCTTCCATATATGATAAAGGAGTGACTACAGAACCCTCCCTGAAGAGGCATGTTTTCAAGCTTCAATGAGATGATTAACTTGTAATTTCAAAAAGTTTATTGCTGAAGCTTCTTGTTCTTTGTTTGTTTGTTTTTAATCAGAGCAGTATCACTGAGAAATGCATGAAGTTTGCTGATGTTGGTAACTTTTAAAATAGACATGTCTTCAAGATAGCACAACTTATGAGTTGCTTTTTATACAGAAGCTTAATATGTATACTCTTGAGATAGTTATAGAACAGCTAATTAAGGGATCAATTTTATTTTTTGTATAGAGTATAGTATGAAGCAAAAATTATTTGAATTGTCTTGTGAGTTTTGGGGAAAGTTGGTAGATGCCTGTCAAAACAGTGGTTAAAATGTAATCTTTTTTCAGAAATGGGATGTCACTAAATTGACCCCTTTTATCCAGTGAATATAGGCTGCTGCTAAATTTCTGTTTCTTTTTTTTTGACTGCTTATATTTTTCTGTCCCCTTATAAAGTTGGATGTCATTGACTTTTTGAGTTTGGGCAGGAGTCTTCAGCAGAATTTTTGTAAAGTCTGAACTATCATTTGCTGGCTTAATGGTATTGCTAGACTACTTGTCCTATTCTTTCTTCACCCCATGTGTATTTCCTAGCAAGGGCAAATGAATTTCAACTGAAATTTCTGTATGATTTAATGATACTTTTTTTTTCCCTTCCCATTTCACTTCCCATGTTTTGCTATAGAAAGCCTAATTTAAGCCTATTCAATTCTTATTTAGCATCTCATGTTAAATTTTGATAGTGTTTCTGTCATACTCTGAAATGGTAAGGTGTACAGTGAGGTAAGGCATGACGGAAGAGTGGTGTAAAAAACAGTTTTGCCTTTTTTTTTTTTCCCCCCCTCATGTTCTTTATCATATCTTCTCATGATAGGTGGAAAACAGAAAGAATACTTCTTTAAGACTTACGCAATCCTGCTTTGCATAGAAGCGTTTCAAATACTTTTAAAATAGTAATTGTATTGGAAAGAAGCATTTCTTTTGAAGGATACGAGGAAGAGAAATGGTAGATGAAACTTGCATCAATCATGGTTTAAACAGTTGTAGAAGTACGGATGAAATGTATTGACATGACTGATATCTTGCTCAGCTGGATCATCTGAAGTTGCTGATAGTTGTTCAACGACGGGGTTTATGTGATCATGAGATAATGGAGGGAGATATCTTTTCCATACCTCTTTGTTTCATTTTCTTCCTTCTGGGAAGAGAAGAAGGTAGAAAGGATGAAAAATACTTCTCAGTGTTCTCTAAATGCTTCTAGCTGCACATCTTCTTATCCAGATAATCAGTAATTGAAGCTGCTGTCTTTAGATTTGGTGTTTACCTATAATAATTTCTTTGGCTCAAAGTTCCACTTCTTGGTGAATCATTAATCCCATTTCCTGGTATGTACTTGAGGAAGCCACCGCATCTTATTCTGAGGAAGCTCACTGTTATAATTGAGAGATTGAGATTCTTTTTTAATTGTTATTTTAGATGCATTTTTTGTGTGGTTTTTATTTGAGCTTTTTTTTTTAAAGGGAAGTCTGATCTGAAGACTATTAGGAAGTTAGCTGACTTTTCCTACAGGCTGTAGTGACAGCAAATCTAGATAGTTTGACATGGTCACAGTGAGTATCTGCCTATAAGTTTGTGAAGGTGAAAGTAGTGACTGGACAGTTGCATAATAAAGCAGAAGGCATTAGAATACATACTGTTTTGTAAGACAGTTGTGGGATGGGAAGCTGAGTTTAAGGAATACAGTCTTATCTGTGGCCCTTAATTGATCTTTAGAACAGAAAGATAAGAAAATGTTGAGGATCCAGAGAGACCTTTTAGTCTTTTAAGCAGTATTTAAATTCATTTCTGTGATAACAGTTGAGCTAAGATCACAATGTATGGATTGCTTTAAGACTAGTACAGAATTTAGAGATTTTAATGCTTTGGATAATAGAGGTGTCTGTTTTCTCTCATTAAAGATGACGTACTAAGAATGAATGTTAGCTACATAATTTTCTCGTTCATGTAGCAGAATGGATATAAATTGTTTATGCAGAACAATTGGGTCTGTGATATAGACTAAGATACAGCTTGCTAATTATTTTCTTGTGGTAGGAAGTGGAGGAGGAAAATTCTTTAAAATCTCCCTTTGTGACTCCTTGAAGCTCTGAATCTCTTAATCCCTGCCTGTAGTCTTGCTGATATAAATCTTATTAGGTACTTTTTCAGTGTCATCCTTAAGTCCTTAAACTCTTGCAGACTATTGTGATTCCCTTAGTGTCTCCTTTTGAAGCACTATAGGAGATATAACTAGGTGATCTATGTTGCATCAGAAGATGAGATGTAATTGCCTGCCAATGACAGACGCAGTATGCAACTGCTAACAGGTAATCTCTCTTTAGCTGCAGTTTACATCTACAGTTACTTTGTTTGAGGAAGTTTGAAATGTGTAAGAACTTATGCTGTCAACTCTGTCACTCCAGTTTTAAAGTTGTGTGTTTGTGAGTGCAGCCACTAAAGGGCTTATACAGATAGTTCCAAAAGGACTTGACCTACATGAAATGATGTAACATTTGCTCTTGGCAACTTTTTGTAATAAATGATACTATTAGAAACTCTATGGATGGGTCATAAGATACTTCAGTTGAATAGATAAGGACACTAAGCTAACTTTTACATTGTGTGGGAGTGATTGGGTCCTTGATATTTTTGGCACCTCCCAAGACTTCTAGATTGCACAGTATCTGGGTTTTGGGTTTGTATTCTGTTCAAGTTTCCAAAGTTGTTCTTGATCATGAATTGATCTTTCAAATGCAAATAGTATGGACAACACAGTATCCTCATGAAGGAGTGACTGGGGAGCGTGAATTCTTTCTTTTTATTGAGGGATATTTTCTAAACCTGAATGATGTCACATTAAATGTGTTTCTGTATTGCTGATCACTTTTACTAGGGAGGGAAGTGGAAATAATTCCCAGAGAAATTGGTAATTGTTGCAGGGAATGAAGTGTAAAGGGAGGAATTAAGGAGGCTATCAAGCAATGAAGAGTACAAAAATAGAGGTGAGGTAATTAAAAAGCATGCGAGTAGTTCTAAAAGGCAATTTATTTTTTTTTGTATAGTGAACAGTGGATTTGAAATGGAAAAATAAAAACACCAAATAAAATTTGGTAATATTTAAGTATACATCCTTTTGAAAGTCAACTGGCTAGATCAGCAGATAGCCAGCTTAATAAGGGTAACCTGTAATGTAGACCTGATTATGTGGTTCATGTGTCACAGCCATGCTTTGAATTTGGCCTTGATTGATAAGTTTGGCAGGCTTATTATCCCAACAGGTGACATTCTCTATGTGTTCCTTGTCCTTTTTATTGAGGTAAAGGGGAAAGGTAGTGTAGCTGTAATGCTTGTTAGTAAGGGGTCTCTCAGATTCTATTTCTAGTGGATTTATTGTCTTGAAATGCGAGGGCAGCATCCTCTGAAAAGAACTTCAAAGTAATGAAGAATTTAACTGCAAAAGAAAATGCAAACCTGGACATAGGTAGAGAAATAAATAAATTGAGGAAGAACATTGTGATGACAGGCAGGAGGAGAAATTATGCAAACAAACATGAACTGTAACACTTATGGGAGAGGTACTTGCTATGGATTTTTTATTAAGAATTTTGCACATTTTTGTGAAGTTAGGGATGTATATAGCATACTATTCTGTAGGGGTTTTTATAGCTGAGCTCCCTAGAAATGCTGTACACTATAAAATGTGAGGAAATCCTAATCTGCTCTTTGTTTGCTTGTTTTCCTAGTTTTTTCTCTTGTGTGTATTATCATGCAAGGAAAAAAAATCCTCCTGTCTTTTATTTGATTGCTCTGAACTGTACTATTATACATCTTGTTTTATAAGGATTAAGGTGTATGCAAGGAAAACAGGATAACAATGAGGAAGAAAAAGTAGGAGGAAAAATAACTTGTCTTGCATATATCTATGTGCATGTATTATACGAGTAAGTATGTGCATAGATAGACTTTTTTGACTGGAAATCTTTGGCCATTCTGTTGAACTGAGAGTGTCCTATTAATAATGTGTAGGAGTAGAATTTGGGATATTTGGTACTGAGAGGGTACATAGTTATTAGGGGGGAAATCACAGCTATTGATACCAGTACTTTAATATAATTGTGCTAATTAGTTTTTAGTGTATCTGTATTTTACCAAAAAATCTGAAAGGGGAGGAGGGTAGTTTTGAAAATACAGTAAAACACTGAGAACTCAGTAAGCTCATTGTTAGAACTTAGACACTTATACAGTTTTAAAGATTTTAAAAAAAAAAAAAAAAAAAAGTTGTTTTATAAAATAGTTTCTTGCACTTTACCTGCTGGCTTTTCAATTTGGTAGATAACATCTGAACTCCAGCAGAGTTTTTATAATCCCCACGTGCTTAAATATACTAAATGTTCTTTTTCCATTAAGGTTAATGTTCGTGAAGAAATTGAAGAGTTTTTTCCAAGAATGTGGAAGATAAATCAAGATAAAAGAAGGCTAATGAAAAGTATTAAAGATCAGAAAATTAAAATTGAATGGGGGAAAAAATTGAACAGAAGATTGGTCAGATAGAAGCACTTGAATGTTTTTTTAAGGCTATAATGAATTGTTTGAATTGGGGAAGAATACACGAAGTATGAAAAATGAAAAACTCAATGAAGAATGAAGAAAAGTAGAAAGCAAGAGTGAAGTAGAATTAAAAGAATCTGGAAGAATGAATGGGTCCTAGGTTAAGTAAATGTATGGTTTATGTTCCAGTGTCTGTATGATCAAGTTGTAGATGAATTTGCATGATTACTTAGTTAATAGAGAATTGGTGATCTGGTTCAAGCAGGGACCTATTTGAGGAAAGCATACAATATTAACAGTGGGTTAGCAAAATGAAATTTGTTTTGGAGGGTATTGCCTAACCATTTGTTTTTTCAGGAGCAATCAATATAATAGAATTACTGTACTTTAAATGTTAGGAGTTAGGCATTAATACAACCAATACCACTTTTAATACTGTCTTTTTCGTTAGGAGTCTCGCTCCCAGTCAAAATCTCCAGCTGGGAGTCCTGCTCGTGTAAAATCGGAGAGCAGGTCAGGATCTCGCAGTCCATCGAGGGCTTCCAAACATTCTGAGTCGCACTCTAGGTCAAGATCAAAATCAAGGTATGTCCAGGAAGTTATTCATGTTGTTCAGTATTACTGTTTATGCCTGTTCTTTTGGTACATTGGTGGGGTTTTTTTCCCTTTGTTATAAGAATTAACTTACTGGGATGTATTAGCAGCACTATGTTAATTTGCATCTTAGTGGTTATATAGGTAGTTAAAGTTGTGGAAAGATGCCATGAGTAATAAAGCATGGATATGTATAGAGAAAGTAATATAAATAGAAGTCACGTAGAAATCACAACTAAAATTTGTAGGTTTAACTCAAAGAGAGAAAAGGGACTGCATCTCAATTCAGAAGGGATTACATCTCAGTACTGTAAAAGCTTATGTCTCCTTCCCCCAAAATCTTTTTTTTGGGGGAGGAACTCTTGTGTGAACCCCTGCTTTAGGGGGAGGGGGGAGGGAAGTCAAGTGAGAACTGCAGCAAAGGTAGTCTGGGTTAGGTAAAAGGACTAAGCTCTATAACTGTTGGAAAAGTTGGAAGATGCTACTTGGGGAAGCTTTTGACATTCCTTCATTGGAGGTTTTAAAAACAAAATTGAGGCTTTAAAAATGAAATCCGTAAACTGCATCTTAAATTGGGCGTGGATAGCTGCTTGGTTTATGGGAGCTTTAAGATTTAAATTCAGTTTTCAATGCTGTATGTACATTTCTCTGTCCTTTTCTACCCTAAGTATTTGTATGCAGAGGCAAAGTTTTATAGCTCTCAGTTCTGAGAGAGCTTGCTCAAAATAGAGGAGGAATGTCTGGTTTTTTTCTCTAAATATGTCATAAAATATTATCTGGCTTATGCTACCTATCTTCTCTCTTCCCTTGAACCATCATACTGATGAAAATTGGGAGAGCTACCGAATCCTCCTTTCATCTATGGAGAAAGCAGCATTTGTAGCCCTGGAGGGGGAAGAGGAATTGTGTAGTATTATGTTGTTCCTTTTCCCCAGTTCTTGGGAGACGTCAGTAATCAATCTTCCCTATTTACACAATTTATATCAGCACAGCTGAGAAAGAGTTACTGTGTTCTGAATTCCCAAAGTTCAACCTAATGTTATAGCTTCTCCTCTTGTAATGTGTAGCTAGATAACTACTTGCTGTTAGGATATAATGCCTGCATGAAATCATGCAGCTTTGGGATGATGCCTGAGCTTCATGATAACTGAGCTTATCATTGGCTAGATGTGTGCAAAGAAATGCTTGAGGAATTAAGCAGGGTTTTTTTGGTCGTGAAGCATTTTCAAGCCTAGCTGAACTTCATTTGTAGATACTGCTAGATACTGGAGCCCTATAGTAGTGCTGCCAGATCTTTTCATTTTTTCAACCAAGACAGTATTTTACAGTGTGGCCTATCTGGTTTCTATATCACTGTGCAAGTGTTACGTGTACAGCGAAGCTGCTGGAAGTTTAAACTTTGAACTTCCTGAAAACTGTCATGAGTATAATCTTCATTGTATGCCAAAAGTTAAAAGTCATGCTCGTGAGCAGGTTATTAGAGGTCTGTGCAATGTTTAGATGTGCAAAGTAGAAGAAACTTCACTATTTTAATTGTAGAGAGCCTCTGAAACAAGATTTTTCTCTAGGAAATGTAAGGCTTACAATTCAATGCATTATATGCATATGATCTAACTAAAAGCTTTCTCTTTGTTGAAGATCCAGGTCCAGAAGACATTCGCACAGACGTTACACTCGTTCCAGATCCCATTCCCATTCTCATTCCCATAGGAGACGTTCTCGAAGCAGATCATACACGCCAGAATACCGTCGTCGAAGGAGCCGTAGTCATTCTCCAATGTCCAATAGGAGGAGGCACACTGGCAGCAGAGTATGTCATGTTCATCAAGGCTGAGTATCAACAAAACAGCTGTTGCTTACATCAGTGTAGTCTGGGTTACCTGCAGGCTGAATTTAACCTGCTGTCTTGTCACTGGAGGTGACGGGAATTTGGAGGTGAGGGGGTTGGTGCAGCAAACTCTGTCCCTGCAGCTGGGCGCTTATTTGTTGGGCCTGCAACAGGCATGGCAGTTGTAGAAATTCATTGAAAAACATACCATTGTGAACCCTTCTGATTTTTCTTGTTATAGTTCCAAGTATATGTATCCTTCGCAAAAATGAGACCTTTTATGTACATGCTTGCCTGAAAGTATTCATAAGGTTGGCTAGAGGAGCCAAAGTAAAAAATTCTCAAGTGTATTTGCCTATAACATACAGTATATTATGTTGAAGATTGCTTGTGATTTTATACCTCCGAGTAATGAATTTGGTTTAACTTGAAGAAATAAACCTAGGTGTTACTAGCTAACGTGTAAATTTTAATATAGCCTAGAAAACTTTATGGTTATGAAAAGAATCAGTAAGCCCCTCCAAAATTTAAATGAGAAGCAAATCAGTAGTGCTGTATTGACAGGAGAAAGTATAAGTACACCAACCAAGATCTAAGATGCTGATTGTATATGTCATTCTGAGAGATTTCTCCCAATAGCCTTTATAATCCGTTTCAATGCCTTGGCTTCTGGTTCCACATTACTTCAGGCTGATCTAAATGAGTGCTGTTACATGGCAGGTCTGCCTGTTCCTTGGTGAGGGCCATGGTACTTTTCAGATCCTTTAAGTTGCTATGAATTTTTTACTAATCCTATCAAAAAGAGCATAGTTTTTTTGCAGGCTTACCTTGGTGAAGCAGCTAACCAGGTAATACCAATGTGAGAGAGAAGACAAGAGCGTGTGGAAAAGGGCAGGACTACAGCAGTTCTAATGTACAGTGGCTTAAGCTGTTGTAAAGCAATGTTCATAGTTACACTTTTTGTGGATTGTAGCCAGTGTGTAATCATGATGGAGTAAATATGAATCTAATGTCTTGAAAAATTGGCAGGAATAACTGAACTTCAAAAGGATTAGCAGATTTCTGGTGAAAGATGAATGAATCCACTTTACTACTTGAAGAAATACTAGAATATTTTGCTCTGTGAAGAAGTCCTTTTCCCTTGGAAATGACTCTGTGAAACACAAAACTTGTTTTCACAGTGAATTTCACGTGAATTCTGAGGAGTAGTTCTTACAGTGTCAAAATGAAACTCAAATCAACCAGACTTGAATCCTGTAAATAACAAGGTCCTAAAGACACCAGGAAAATTGGTAGCAAGTTTGCCACTTCTGACTTTGTAGAGAGTGCTTGTGTTAAGCTGTCACTTGTCACTTAGGGCACACAGACCGATTCTTGGTACTTCTCTTGCCTCAGAAAAGGTAATAGGGTAAGGGGGGTGTAAAAAAGGACAATACTGATATGTACTGTGTGGAGGGACTTGTCCAAACAAAGTATAAAAGACCGAGAGATTTAATTAGGCTTACAAGAGTTTCAGTAATAAAAGGAGTATAGCCGTTGATGCCATTGAATTTCAGATTGAAATGGAGTAAGAAAGGAACCTAAACCTGTAGAAATCAAACTTTCAAAAGACAAACTACCAGTTTTTCTTGTGCTCTTTGTCTGTAATAAAGAATTGTAGAAGATTCATGTCTTAAAACAAAAGTTTGAACTTTGACAAATGGAAAGAAACTTCAAATAGATGAGTAGTTTGGGCATCTTATTTTCACAGTGGAATCCTGAACAAAAGCTCTGAAGAGAACACGACAGAAGATCTAAACCTGTTCATTCTTTGAATCAGGTTGAAAGGCAAGCTCTGAGGCATAAATTACTGTGTTATCAGTGGCTTTGAAAATCTGAAACTGAAATACAGATTTCAAGTGTTTCAACTTCCAGTTATTTTAGCAGAAACATTAAATCCCTATGTGTATTGCTACCATTTTAAATTGCTTTGTCTAGTATAACAGGTGCCAGAAGCTTAACTGAAAAAATAATGATTTTGATCAAAATAATTCTTACAGTGGAATTGGCATTAGATGAACTTTCTGGCATATAGAGAAACTTTGAACCTAATAGAGAAATTAATTACAGTACCTTGTACAATTTTACAATTTCATATTTGACTTCCTTTAGTTGAAGTGAAATGTATTAAGTACATCTGTATTCCACATCCTGTTAAAGAATCAAGAGTCTTGCTCTAGAAAAATGTGCATGCTTTTGGATTACAGTTTTACAGAACTGGCCTTCCAACACTTGTTACTACCTAAATGAAAAGAAGCTGATGATTTTTTTCCAGTTTACAAGTGGACAGAGATAAACTTCAAAATGTAAATACTGACTTTCAGTACAGTTGGGTAGGAAATGTTGAGGGTGGAGGAAGTTTTGGTAAGAGCTAAATTATAGTTCAACTGTCCATGCTTAGGAGCTCAAATGCATTTGTGTGTGCAACTGGAGGCAGCATGCACTCTTCAGTACTAGTGGTGACTGCAGAGAGGCTGAAGGTGGGAGTTCAGGCTGAACTGTTCTTAGTACAGCCCTGTATGTCATGTCTCCAGCTTTACTGTAATCAGAATGCTTAATTTTTCTCAACTGAGTTTTTCACCAACACAAGAAATTAATCTTTGTCTTTTTTCTAAAATAAAAATAGTGAAAGTAGTTGCTTTTGGAAAATATCTTACGATTGGAATGATAGCTGTTGAAGTATTAAGCTTTGTAATAAACTGTGTTTAGTTTTCTTCAGATTAAAAATTTTTAAAGTTTGATAATGCATAACTTGTTTTCAATAAACTTAATTGGAGTTGAACATTTGTCTTACCAGGCTAATCCAGATCCAAATACATGTCTTGGAGTGTTTGGTCTCAGTTTGTATACTACCGAGAGAGATTTGCGTGAAGTCTTTTCCCGTTATGGACCTCTGACTGGTGTCAATGTTGTTTATGATCAACGGACTGGGCGATCAAGAGGATTTGCTTTTGTTTATTTTGAGAGAATTGATGATTCTAAAGAGGTAAATTCATGCTTTACTACTTTTAACAGGTGTGCTCCTGGTGCATTGTCTTCCTGTATATTGCTGGGGGGAAAAAAGAGATTTTGAATATATATTCACTAGCAGGTTCTCAGTGAGATTAATTAAAAATATTCTGTTCAAACATCATGGCACTCTTAAACAGATGAAGCATTTTAGTTCAGTGTTCAGATGCTTGGACAAATTTTGAGTATCTGTATTGAATCACCGATGAGCATCGTGCTTTGATTTTTAGTTTGTTACTTCAAAATGAAAGTAAATCTTTAGACAGACACAGAAGCCTCATTTTTGAAATATTTTGAAAGGTAACTTTTCAAAACAGTTTTCTGTATCAAAATTCTGAAGATTCTCTTTACATTTACCTCTCTAAAAGCATGTCACCGTGCATTTGAAAAATAGTGAATTTTGTCTTATTTGTGCCTTGGTCAGTGACTTTGCTAGTTACATAGATGCTGTTTACAGCTGGACTGAGCTGTTAGTATAATTGATCTATAAGGAAAGAATCAAAGGATGTGAGCAGCAGGCTGTATTATGGCTCGCTGCAGTAAGCAGTACTTTTTTTGCCCGTGTAAGGATACTGTGAGCTTTACTACATTTACTGAAATTTGTAGATGAAATTGGTGTTAAAAGTAAAGACACATCCTTTTTAATTTTTTTTGTCTTAAAGTCTTCACTGTAGGGTTATCTCTTGGGCAACCTGAGTCAGACTTCAAGCACCTTGTTTATGGATTAATAGTCTTGGGCAGATGTTTCAGATTTGCTGTTTGATTCTGTTTACATTAGATAAGTATATGCATAATGCTTGGGGAGAGGATGACAGCTGTAGGACCTACTATTAGTAGCTGAAAATTGAAAACTGATGCCAGTTGATATTTTAATGAGGGAAAAAATCTTTCATGGATGACTTGAACTAGACTCAGTTCTGATCTTTGGCTGATTTCTGGTATGATTGAACAGAGAATCAGTTTATGGAAGAGTAGGATTTGTAGATGTATGTATGTGTGGTTGTTGCAGGTTATAGGGGTAAGTAAAAGGACACAAAACTTCTGTAGTGTCCCTTCTGTATTTTCCCACTGTCACTTTGGCAGGTTGATAGCAGAGTTAATGGGGTGGATAGCTGTGTATTCGTCTTCAGTGGCCTGCTGTCTTCTGCCTTTCCACTTTTGAGTTTGGTGGGATTTTGAAAATGTGACTGTTTTGTAGAACATTTAACATCCAAAATACTTGGACAGTATTTGTTACATTCATGTGCCAGTCTTGTCTATTTTACAACTTCATATGTCTTTAGAAGTAGGGTTTTTTCCTAGTTGCCATGGGCAATGGTCATGCATAACACCATGCATTTCTTAAAATGTTCCACATAAATAGCATGAAGTAATTTGTTTAGTATAATGCTGTTTTGGCAGACACTACAAAACTGGAATGGGATATTACTTGCCATCAGAAATACAGAATTAAGGATGAGCACCTTAAGCAAGAACTGAAATAAACTCTTATTCTTTTCCTCCCCGACAAGCTGGTGTGTGAAGAGGGGAGAAAGCATACAAAACCTCCCAACAGCTGGAATTTACGTAACTGAAATACTTTGGCAAGAGGATAGGAGAAAAACTTGTTTATTTGACTTGATTTTGTGGGCCTTGAGGACAGATTTGAAGATGGCAACAAGTGGCAGCTAGTGTAGAAAAAGGAGGTATAGCTATAGGCATTAAACTCCGTGACAGACCCTCTAGGAGAACACTGAAGGACGTGATGTAATTCTCTGTGTGGAAGATAGATCAAATCTGAAAAGTTGAGTATGCATAAAAGCAATGACACTCAGAACCAAAGTAATTAAAGTAAATACCTTTCTCCTTAAAAACAAACAAACAAAAAAACCCCAACCCCCCCCAAGCCTCCAAATAGATTATAAAACTCTAGATGACATGTTGAACTAAATTCCAGCCCTCTTAAAGCAGTCGTAGATGGATTAAGTATGTGTGGAACTTTACCAAAAATGAGGATTTCCCATTGTCTTCACCACTGTCCTTCCAAGAGAGGTGATACTGGGAAGTCTCTCAGCTGACATGCTCTCAAACTGTTAATGCTAAAATTGGACACCAAATGAATTGTGCGTAGTTCTGTTTAAACTCCAGTAACTTGGTTGAAGATGGGTTGGTACCAGTATTGTGTGGATTCTGTTGCAGCTGAAATCCTTCAGGTTCTTGTCACTGGTTACCATTCTTACAAATTGTATCAGTTATTGAGCTGCTTAAAATGTTGCTATGTGTCAAGATTCTGAAACCAAGTGATGCAATGTTTCTAGCTCCATATGGTGGTAAAGATCTTCTGAATTGTCAGCTGTCTCAATGTGGTGGAAATTCAGACAATGTAAACTATCTTTTTTAAAGGTGATGCTTTACTGCTGCCCCTTTGTTTGTTTTTTTTAGGACATGGCAAAGTTTATTTTCATTTAAGCTGTTTTAGACTTTCAGAACTTCAGATTGATTCTTCAGATGTGATGACACCATAGCAGCCTTGTCGTTAGCTGTTTATGATCATCTTGGCTATAAAGAGGAGCAGAGATTTAGCTTTTGATAACTATTAGATAGAGCAGCTGTTGGAACATCACAGTAGCTTCAGTCGTTCCACCTTAACAGGACTGGGAAAGAAATGCTGGGTGCATGTATCTGTTCTGAAGGACATTTCTTGTGGAATCTCTTCTACTCTGAAACTCTGCTGAGATTGAGATGCAACTTTGTGGTCTGACAGAAGGTTCCTTTTCCATCAAATGTCTTTTATTGGGAAAAAAAAAAAGTTTTCTATGTAATATTTAGTAATGCTTTTTTGCCTTGTGTGTTGCAGTGTCTTATGTTGGCCACCCTTCTGCTAAGTCTTCATAAATATGTGTGCAACATTATGCACAGAGCAAGATCTGTAAACATCTGTTGAAGACCTGTTTCTCAAGATTGGCATTCTTTCTTATATAGTTCTCACTATTGGCAACGCTGGGACTGAGCCAGTGTTGTAATATTGCAGTTTTGCAATATTTTTGTGAAATTATGGAGGATATTCACCTGCCCATCACACTAGGATTTTCTTCCTGTGTTTGGAGGAACACAAACTTCTATGTAATGGGATGAGAAGGAAAAAGCATGTGGGAGGGTTGATGGTAAATTGAGAGGATTGAGTAAAAAGTGCTGGCTGTTCTAGGGAGATGATTCTTACTACAGTTACCAGGGATTTTGCATGCCATTATCCAGCTTTTCAGTAACTTAGAATACGAAGTGCTAGTTGTTGTTTAAACTGAGGCTACTGTGAATGTACTATGTATCTGTAGCCAGAAATCATCTGAGGAAGCATTAGCTACAGGAGCTGTTGGCAATATGGAATTTTCTGTTTTCTAATGCTAGTTATATACTCTTTATAGTTTTGACCATCTTTCACAACTGTTTTCTGAAGTAGCGTTCATTAGCAATCGAGACAAACTTTGTATGGACAAACTGAACTATTAATGTAATTGATTTGCCAAAGACCAGAATAATAGGGAGTTTTATTTCAATGTGCAAGGTATTTAACCTGTGGTAAAACCAGACCAGCTTAGAAGCATCATTATTGATCAAAACTTTTCCCATAGATTGTCAAAGAAATGCTTAAAGTCTTGTTTGTGGTATCAAAAGAGACCCTTGATATACCAGAAAGAACACAAGAAGGTCTGAAATGTTTGGAATTAGAAGTCACACACTTTTGGAGATTCTGAAATACCATGAAATTGTTAATACTTGCAGAAACATATCCAGTTACTCATTCTGGTTCTCTAAAGAGTTTCAGAGTCAGGAAATACAGGATTTTAAAGTATTCTTTAAAGATAATACACTTAATCAATAGATGTTTAAGCTCAGAAACTTATATGTTTAAAAATTATCATTGACAATATTCTAATAATATTTTTAAAAACTAATCCTCAAACTAGAGAATATAAATTGACTCTTGTTCAAAGGTGAAATGGACACTTGAATTCAGCTTGGCAGGCTGCTGTAAGTGTAAAAAAACTGGATTTCTTAATTTCTTTTTTTCATCCCATCAATTTTTTTTTTCCCTGAATGTCCTTTCCGATGTTCTCATTAAATCCAGACCTGAACTAGTGATATCAGTATACTGGGGGGTGGGTGGAAAAGCTAATCTATTATGTCTGTTCCTTCCATGTTGTACCTGTGATACAGTGGAGATGATGGTTTTTATTGGCATTAAGTATGATATGGAAAGTACTTCAGGTAAAAACCAGCCAAAAAAGAAACCCCCAAACCCCACAGCAAGCAAAAAAAGACACTGTTTTATGTAGTTAATTTAAAGTCATGAAAATATATTTTCCAAATGAGTCCCAACTTAAATTGATCGTTAGACTGAGTACATGTGAATAGTCAATACTTCACTAACTTTGTAGTGATTTCACATTATTGAAGCAATTTAAAGCAGCTAGATGCAATTGAAGTGAGGGCTTGATGATCTTTTGTACAATGCAAACGGTACCTTGAACTCCGTAGTAGAAATATAAAGTGATTGTTACATCAGCTCTGCCAAATCAAATTCTCTCCCTCCCTTCTCCCATCTTCCTCCCCACACCCTTCCCCCAGTGACCACAGTGCAGGTTGCAGAAATTTCCCACGTCGTTTCCTTGTCCAAGCTGCCCTTTGTGACATTATCCAGACTGGAAGATTATTTAATTTCTTTCAGTGAATTTATGATTGAATTGTTTACCTGTGCCATTCCCAGTCCTTATTCTCTGCTTTCTGACTGCAAATACATAAATGTGTATTCTGGCCTACAAAAGTCACTTTCCTTAGAATCTGCAACCAAAACTAATAGCTCATGTTTGTAGGACTCCTGTTCGCTTGCTTACTTGCTGCAAGTCTTCTAATATTTAGATACTTGGAGCAAAATCCAGGTTGAAACAAAAATGGACTGTTGACAGTTAAAGGCTCCTAAGAGGGTATTGTGTATCTTAAACCCCAATGTAATTTGATTTTTCTCTTCAAAGTGTTTTACACTTCTGTCTTTTAAGATGTATTTGAGAGTGTCTTCTGCACTGTTAGAGCGAAGGTACCATTTTTCCCCTTTGACATTTAAATGTTCTTAACAAATCATTCATGCATACCCAAAACCAGCAAGAAAAGCAAACTGGTATTTGTTTTGAATGTGACATGCTAGTCTAATACAATTGCAAAATCCAAAATTTGATTATAAACTAGTTTAATGTCAAAGAAAGCACAAAAGTGTCAGTCAGTAGAATCACTAATATGTTTTTTCAGCCTTGGTACAAACTAAATACCATTGTATCAATTTTCTGAAACAATGTTTTCAAATAGGGCTTTTGGCCATATTGTGGAAGTCCTTCTTGAGTACTTTGTTTCAAAAGACTTGAGATGCACCATGTAGAGAATTTGGAAACATCTTTGGAAAGAATTTCCATTTGCTAATGACTAAATGTGAGTGATGCTGTCAATTATTGTGGGATTCATAATGGCTTATTGTAGGTTTTGACTTTTCTGTATTTGGGGGATGCAGTTAGAACTGTAAAAGGCTTTATGTCTGTATATCTATTAAAGATTGTTATTATTTTAAATTTTTTAGTTGGCAGTTATTGCTGACAGCTGTTGAAAGCTAAGAAAATCAAAGTTTTAATATTGGGTAGGTCATTAGACACTATGACCAGGATGTCTGAATTTCATGCAAACTGGTAACTATGAACTAATCTTTATCCACTGAAATGTAACATATTTGGTACTTCCAAAACAAACAATCAAGTCTCAAAATTAACTATTCATCTGTCTTGCTGCTATGTTCCTCTTCTCTGTACTGCACCCTGTGTCAAAGAACTCTTCCTCTTAAAGATGTGTTTGTTGTTTTAACTAAGACGTGTGCCAGATGTTCTGGATTTGAAGTGGCTTCTTGTCAGATAAGCTTACTATGTTGCAAGTTGTTAATTGGACACAAAAATGCCATGAAGCAGAAAATTCCTTACCTTTCAAGACACCTTGCATATTGCAGCACTTCCAGAAAGATGCTTTTCATCATGAAGCTAATTTTTCAGCCAGCTATTTGCAGCCTTTGTTTTTAGGTTTGTGCACATATATACATTCCTAGGATGTGTGCACAGATTTATATTAACCTAGATCATCCTTGTGGAACAAAAAAAAAAGTCTCAAGGCTAGCAAACTAAAGCTAATGATCATGTTTTGTTCACAAAATATACTGCAGTGTACATTGAAAGACTTGAAATGCTGTTTGGTCTTGCCTTGCTAAATGTAGTTGTTGTACTTTTGTATGGGAACAGAACTCACTAGGTGGCGATATGGTATAGATATAAACAGCATTATTAAAACGCAAACTTAAGTGTAGTTAAATAGGTTAGTGATAATTCAGTTACTTCTATCTTGGGAACATTACAGTTAAATCATGTGGGTGTCATGATTTGTTTCCTCCTCTATAACTTGTATGTTAATTCAGTAAGGTTCTTGTTAGAGAGCTGTGAAAAGTTACAATTCTGAATAGTTGTTTCATTATTTAAAAAAAAAAAAGGGGGGGAAAAAAAGCTCTGCTTAGAGGCACCTTCATGTTTTGAGGATGTGTATTGTTCCTCACAATTTAGTTTAGCGAGTGGTTGTGTTCTCTAACTCAAGATTGTAACAGTGTCTCTTCTTCACACGTGAAAAATGAAAATAATGTGTACTGGACTAAGTGCTGCGTTTAATGTCATAAACTAAGTGGTGTGTACTAGTATTTCAGAGATCCTAGAGCAGCTGATGACAGGATCAAAAAACTTTTTTTTTTGCAAATTTTAATAGCTTTTAAGTCTAGCATTAACTATTAAATTCTTAAGGTTGTGGGTTTGTGCGTTGTTTTGTGATTTTTATTTATTTTATTTATTTTTTTTAAAGTTACCATTGCATTAATATAATTCTCAAAAATACGCTGTGCTCCTTTGAAAAACTATATTCATGATTTTGGGTTTGTGAAAGGCCATTGTATTGATTCTCAAAGACTAAAGAAGCAGGGGCTAGAACACCCAGTGAGTGTATGCACGGGCTGCGGGCGGGTCTGAAGGCACAGGCTTCTCAAGCACAGACCCTTACGTGTATCGCTTTAGCGAGCTGCTATTGTGAGAGTGAGTGGGGAGGAAGGTTGTAATTAGGTATCCATGTAGGCTGAACCCGCCATTTTACTAAGCTCTGCTGGAGTAGGTCCTTGTAAGGGAGATGGCAGGAGGCTGGGAGAGCATGAAATGGCAGCCGACTAGCAGTAATCCGGCCATATGCACCCTACAGGAAGCCACTGTTTTGCACAGCTTTTGAATCCGCCCGTCCCCTCTGGGTCAGAGACGGCAATAGGAAAGATGCAGTTTTCAGAAAAAGCTGTTTTGACTTTCAGTTTACCTTTCTGATGGGTAGAAGACAAAGTCTAGGGAAAGTGACTGCGTTAGTGGTTAGCACCGTGCTCTCTTAAGGAGGGATTGCGCGTCACGTTACTCCGGCACCCCAGTGCAGTCCTGTAACACTGCCGGCAAGCAGGCCAGGGGACAGAGATGAGCCGTTCACCACAGTGGGGCACTAGTAACCAGCCCAAATAAAACAAACTCAGGACTTGTTTTTCTGATGGAAAATAATGTGTTTTGTACGTAGCCTTCCGTAGTTACCAGTAGGTTGCAGGTTTCACGTCCCTGTTCCTTATGTTTCCTGCAGGCAATGGAGCATGCAAACGGTATGGAGCTGGATGGCAGAAGGATTCGGGTGGATTACTCGATCACTAAGAGAGCACATACACCCACCCCGGGCATCTATATGGGCAGGCCAACACAGTAAGGAGTCCGCTCGTTTCCTGTAATGGGACTAAAATTGATTTAAACTGAATGTTTCACGTCTAGTTGAAGAAATAGAACTACAGATACTTTTTTTGAAATTTTATAGAGTTAATGCCAGTTGTAGTCTATCACAAAGGTATTAATATAAGCAATGCGTTACTGTGGTTCCCATATACTATTAAATCCTACCGTAGTTTATTGTATACTTATAAAAAAATACTGAAGGAATTATTTAAAAATATACATACCCAGCACAGTCAGTTAATGCACCCTTAGCTGACTGAAATACTGAGGTACCCATTTGCCTTTGATTTGGATGGGAATTAGGCTTAAATCCCTCATGGGTTTTCTGGAGGGTTTTGAAGGTGTTTTTCTTTAAATGTTTCATTGTTAGATTGTTTCATGGCATAGTCTTAAGTGTCTGATTTACAAGAACACTTAAAAAAACCTTTTAAATAATTTAAATCCAGATGAAGAACAGATACCTAAAGTAATCTTTTTTGCTTTTTCTCTAATAGCAGTGGAGGAGGTGGTGGCGGTGGAGCAGGTCGCCGTCGTGACTCATACTATGATAGGGGGTATGACAGAGGCTACGACAGATACGAAGAGTATGACTACAGATACAGGTAATTAATTTTTATTTTATTTCTGTAGGAACAGTGGATTTGTTGGAAAAAGTTCAGTGACAAAAAATGTTAATCAGTTTGTAGCCAGAGTCTGCATGCATGCTATGTATCAGAGCTTCATTATGTTAGTGTTTGTGGGATTAAAGTAGTTGTAATCTTCAGTGTTTATGTAATTTGGTTTTACAGTAAACAGTTGGGCAAGGGGTTAATTTTGCTACCTGAAGGTGGTAGAGCATGTGCCCTATGAATCTAGTGAACAGATAGAAAGGGAACTCGTTTTTCCATGCTGTATATAGAATCAGGGACAGCTGACACACAGTGCTGTTTAAAAAGGGGTTATTTGTAGATGGGATTCTTAATGCTTGACATTTCATAACCATCTCACTGTTTTGAAAGTTATCTAGTTTCAGAGAATGTTGTTCAACAAGAATTGTAAGCATTTGTAAAAGCACTGCATGTGTTTGCAAGGCTAGTGAGAGTTTATTAAATTCTGTGTCTGGGAATATCTTACAGAGTTAAACACATCAAACAGAGAAATATAAAAGCATTTGTTAAATAACTGTAAGCCACAGCCAAATAAAGCTGAAATCATTCATGCAGGCCAAGTCTTTCAGTGCTAAGGAAATGGTTCTGTTCTGTGGAAGTGCTGTGAATAAAGCTTCTTTCATAATGGATGTTGTTGAGTTTCTTTTTTAATTTCCTTTAAAGGAGACGATCACCATCGCCTTATTATAGTCGATACCGATCACGATCAAGATCCCGTTCCTATAGTCCAAGTAAGTAAATACAAGAGAATAAATAAAATCTGGCTGGCTTAAACCTTCTTGTTACTAGTATTAATTGATCAATGGGAATTCTGAATGTGAAAGCAAAAAAGCTGGGCACATTAAAGCTCAGTAGATGTGTGTACAGTTAGCTTATAGTAATTGTCCTTTTCCCCCCCCCCCAGGGCGCTACTGAAGATCAGAAGAGTTACAGTTGAGGACATGATTTTTAAATACAACGTTCAGATCTTAGCTTCCTTACTGCTTTCCCTCCCTTTCTTGTCCCCCATCCAGCTCTTTTACAAATCTTTGGTTCATTTAGAATATACATATTTTCAGTTGAAGTATTCCTGTTTTCCATCCCTTCTTATTGTAATACTCTTAAATATTGTAATTGTTGTAGTTTTTGTGTAGTAAAACATCTTAAGTAAAATGAAATAGAGAACCCAAAGTGATGATACATTTTGGAAGTCATTCCTATTTTGTTTTTAAAACAATTGGACTCCTGACTAATCAGAAGAGAGCGTTGATATTTTTAAAGCTTGCATGTCATATGTAATATACACACTCAGATACTTTAATATAAACTTGCATTTCCAAATAACTCGTTAATCTTTCTGTTAAAATGTTTACCTATTACTTTGATAAACAAGTAATGACTTTAAGCCTTTTCTGTAATGAGAAATGTACTTAGATAGACATGAACCAGAGGATTTTTTTTTTGGTCAGGTAGTTGCTTTGAGTGTAGACTATTTGAGCTAGAGCAAAATTTGGTATTTGACTGGGAAAATAGGTCCTTGTACACTCAAAATTAAGGCTGTGTTTTATAGATAAAGTTTCTGGATTGCTACACAGTGGATAACATTTGAAGTTAAAACTAAAAATCCTGGGGGTTTTATTGTACTTGGTTGAATATTTCCCCCTTAATTGGTGCAGAAGAAAAAATATTTATTGAACATAGCAATTAGTTCTATAATTTGCTGTTCATTTAAACAACAACAAAACCCACCAACTTTTTGGTATTGCAGTAATGATTAAGGAAGTTTTGTTTACAGTCCTTTTTGGAGTTTTGAAAGTACGGATGGAAAAACCTACAACTACATGTAAACCTTTTACCACCCCCACCCCCCCAATAAAAGTTAATTCCACTGAGATGCGGTTTCTTGTCTTTTGTTCTGCTTTTCATGTCAAGTTGGAATATATGTTAAATAAGACTTGATATTGCTGTACAGATAATAAAGTCAGCGTTTATCTGTCTTCTCGGGAGCCTCTTTTTCCCTGAGGATCAGCATGTGGTTACATGGGATGGCCAAGCTGAGTCGATATTCCACATTTCTCTTGCGCCATCTTTGGCGCTTACTGGAGTTGTGGTGAGGTGATTTAAAGAGAGAAACACTATTGGCTATATTTAGGTTTCTGGCAAGTTTTGTCCTCTGAAATAACTCGCCATGTGGCTGGTTGAATGTCAGTGTTGGCACAACAAAAGGAACAGGACTATAAAGCCCTCACAGCAAAAATTATTTCATCCTGGTTGTCAGGGAATGCCACCAGAAGAGTTTGTCGTAACTTTAAGAGGGTAAGCCTTTGAAATGTAATTTTGATAACTATTTCTGAATGTCAGTGCCAGAAACTATTTACAAATAATTAAAAGAAACACAGACACATCCAACTCTTTTAAAGGCTCGATACGGTATGCCGGGAGAACCTGGTGACAAAACAAGTTCTAACTTAAGGGTCGTTACTCAATACTTTTTAGCCGAAGCAAAGGACTTGAAATGCTGAAGTTCAACAAATAACCTTCCAACTCTGATGATTTTTGTGGTGATCCAGACAAATTGGGAAGTGTTAAGAAAATTGTTCTCTCTAAACCAAAATGCTAAAAGTCCAACCATGAAGATGTGTGGGTATTTTTAATTTTGGTTTTGTTCTTTCAAAATTCAGGGGTGTAGCGTGCAGAAACAGCGAGGCAACTGGATACAAAAGCATGAGAAATAGCTGCCGGGCTGGTTGGGGGAGGCATTCCGGCTCAGGGAATTAGGATAATAGGCAGGGAGAGAGGTGGCTACTACTTGCCAGGCGATGGTATTGTGGCCTTTAACTGTTAAGGGGTGAGAAGCTGTATTAGTTGGCTGGAGAGCAGGAGTTCCACAGGTCTCGTGCCTGGAAGCTAAAGCCAGGAAGGAGTGTCTCGGTCCTTAGCTCACGGATGCTTTCTTCCAATGGTTAGACCTAACTACCTGACCATCCTGTTTGTCACGTTTGAGTCCATATAAGGTTGTCAGTGGCAACAGCGTTGCACTACGTGGTGTATTTTGTGCTTCACGCTGACTGATGTGATGCAGTCCATGTGAAGAACAGGTGAAAGTGGGAATTCTTACTGTATTGGACATACTTGTACAGTGTGATGTATGAATAACTGTTAGAATTAAATCACCATTTTTAATACTGCCAATCTGGAAGTGGGAAGGATAACTTGTGGCTGTTTCCTCATTCTTGGGTTTGTTTTTTTATTATTAACTGAGATCGGTTGGGCAGAGATCTCAGTGTTAGCAGTTGTCTGTGACTTCCATGGCTTACGTTCTTCCCAGGGATGGGAGCCTTGTCTCCGCTTTGTTGCGAATGGGTTTAGGAGCACTGTTTATGTAAACTACGGATTCTCTTTATGAAAGAAAATAGCCTGGGTAACTCCTATACTGTATCTCTAAACACAGCTAGTTAAACAGCTAAATATTTTCTCTGATGTTTTTATATATTTTTTAGTTCTAGATAAGGAATTACAAGTGTAGTCTGAACTCTGGTCATATACTAAAGTTTGCAACAACGTTTAAAAAAAGTCAACCTAAGTAACAAACCAGTGTTACTTTGTGCTAATAAGCTTAAGTTCACAATTGCAGGGAATATTTAAATACTGACTTCAGACAAACCTGACGCTTCATTTGGGGTTTTTGTATAGCCTCAATTCTAGGCTCAGGATATAGAATGCAAGATAATACTTGACGTTAAACATACTGTGTTCCCAAATGCCTCAGAGAAGTGGCCACAAGAAGTTCAGAACAGCTGCTGCACGGGCTGAGGCTGTGTGTAATGGAAAACTTGCACCTGATGACAACAGTTAGGTTTACATGTTGGGTCAAAATAACTTCTGAGTGTGTGTGTGTGTATAAAGATCACGTGCATAAGGCGAAGTTTATGAAGGCTATTGTTTTGTCGTTTGTCCTATAAAACGATACTTCACATCTGTAATAACACTATGCCTTTGGTCTTGCAGTACTCGGCAAGCGTTTGCCTGTGGTGCTGCATGACATGGAAGAGGTGTGACGCAGGCAGCTGAAGACTGCTTTTTGGGAAAGTACCTTCTGTTGCAAGGCTTCAGCGGAGGAATAGCGGTTAGGTGTACTTAGACTGCCAGCAGCTCGTACTATCAGTCTGCTCTGTTTAGCTGCTGCAGTCTTCCACAACTAATATGAATTCCTGGGATCAGAGGAGGAATACAGTCTGGGATAAACATTTTCTATTGCTTCCTACAAAAGCGACTTTTTTGGTTGGGCAAATGCAGTGAACAAATCTTACTCGTGTGACAGTCAGTGCCCTTGTCTTAAACAGCAGTGTAAAGGCGAATGCGAAATGCAGGCTCATGCCACACCATCTGCAGTATCCGTAGGCATCATTTTTTGTTTTGCTTACGTTTTGCTTCTGCATCAAGTATTTCAGGTGGGACTACCTCTGTGCATGGACAGGTAAGGACTGTTAATTCAGCAGAGGAATGTTTTTCTGTATCATACAGAGCTGCAAATACACTTCAATCAAGTTTAGGTAAAAAAGCAGAGTTTCCTTTAAATAGGTCAGTAGTATGTTCAGACAGCGCAAAATCTACCATCATCACACTTCCTCAGTTTGGGCTAAACTTATTAGACTGGAACAAATAAGCCTTAATACTTTTCCTTCTGCTGCTTTAGATATACAAGATTAAACATCCATTAAAAAAACCTGGCCGATAGTGGCCTAGAAAAGGCTGTGAGCCACTGAAGCGGGTCTGGTGTTCAATTCCATGAGAAAGCGAGAGACCACCTTACACAGTATGATTTCTTAACACTTGTGCTAGCAACTGAGGGTTACATCTTTGGTAGCTAATAGCAGATACCTTTCACATTCAAATTAACCAAATTTATTTGGCAAAACATTAAAAAAAGATCTTAGTTAACTAAGATCTGCTAACCTTTCTTGAAATCGGTTCCTGAAGAACAAGTAGCTATGGTGGCAATGAGATTCCCGCTTTGAAAAAGTTTAATGGTTCTTCCGGTATAAGGTTACTTCTTGAGTTTAAAAAGTAGTTATTCCTCTGTTGTCCCCCTTTTATTTTTTTTTCTTTTTTGGTGGAGCTTTCCAACTACGAAGGTGTCTGATACGTTAGGGCTCAAGAATGGAGAACTGTGGTCACCAAGAACCAATATTGATAGAAGTGTTCCACCAGCCTGATCTGTGATTCCACTCTCATCCTCCTCCCAGTACTGCATAAGGACCAGAATACGTATTCTCTGCACTTCATCTCAAATTCAGTAATTTATGATCTGCCAAAACTTCCAGGCAGAATTTTCTCATGCCAACCCAGTCTCATAATGCACAGAATATAGCATCAGCAGTAAGCTTGATGCTTCAGTATTCTTGTCTTTCAAGATGTACCCCAAAGTACAGTACTGACAGAGAACTCCTCCATGTATGCACAGGAGTTTGCATAGGTCTTTATCATAGAACCCTAGAATGGTTTGGGTTGGAAGGGACCTTAAGATCATCTAGTTCCACCCTGCCTGCCATGGGCAGGGACACCCTCCACTAGACCAGGTTGCCCAAAGCCTCATCCAGCCTGGCCATGAACACTTCCAGGGATGGGGCATCCACAGCTTCTCTGGGCAACCTGTTCCAGTACCTCACCACCCTGTTCCAGTGCCTCACCACCTTCATAGTGAAGATTTTTTTCTTATACCTAATCTAAATTGACCTTCAGCTTAAGGCCATTCCCCCTTGTCCTATCACTCCGTACCCTGTAAACGGCCGCTCTCCAGCTTTTCTGTAGGCCCCCTTCAGGTACTGGAAGGCTGCTCTAAGGTCTCCCTGGAGCCTTCTCTTCTCCAGGCTGAACAGCCCCAACTCTCTCAGCTGGCCTTCTATAAAGACTTCTTATATTTGTTTTAAATGAAAACAAATGCATATAAACTTATTGAGGCAGAACAATGGATCAGTACTGCGTAGAAACTGGTCTTGCAAATCTCTAGATGGAGGGACCATGGGCTGTTTGGACCCCTCTTTTTCACTCCTCCATTTTTGCTCCTGTTCTCAGTGTGATCATAACTTGCCAATCTTCTACTGGTTTGGTTTGTGGATCCCGGGTTATGAGAGGTGCTTATTTACAGTACTACCTCAATATCTGCAAGCTGGCCCTCTCTGTCTCATGGAGGAAACCTTGTAACGTCATGGAGATGAAGAGAACCTGAAGGATGGCTAAAGGTAACTGATGTTTATTAGGCTTTAATAATTCGCGGTGGCTCCACAATTTTTTATAGCTTGTGTGGAAGCAGACACCTAACTCTTACAGCAGTGCAGGAAAGAAGAACCACTGAACATTGATCACTAAATTGCTGTTCGTGATATGAAATTCCACAACACAAATCTTAACAAATATTGGGTAGTATCTAATCTCACAACAAACACACAAAATGTCTTCATCAGGGAACATTCAACTGGTTGATGACACTCTTGTGTGCTGCTGGGATATTTTGGCATGGTCTGGACTGTGGCAGGATGGCAACAGAATGGAGGGCTTTGTCGCCAGCTGCTGTCTCCTACTTGTCAACTTTCACAGTCTAATGTGCTTTTCTAATGCTCCTATTTCTCTTTTCTGCTCCTTGCTCTAGATGTCAAGTTTTTACCTTTCTCCAGGCTACTGGATTCAGTGCAGGATTGGGCAGAGGAACAACATCTAGAGAACAGAAAGGTGGTCTGCTTCACAGTGAACAATCTTAGATGCCAAAGTTACTTTGCAGCTGAATTCCTCCCGGTTGAGGATCCTCTCTTCCATGAAGAGCTGCCAATTTGGATTTCTAGGTTGTAGCTTTAACAATATTGTGTAGTAAATGCTCAGAAACCGGTCTCTTAAA